TCCATTTAGGTTAAAATAAACCTTAGCTCGGTGTCTACGACTAATATTATTTATAACTCTTTTTGTGTGAATATATATCACCGCATCATTCCAATAAGACAACGCACAAAAAATGTCTAAAACCAACTCAAGTTTTTTGTTTATTATTGTTTTTGTTAAATGATATGGGGCAAAAATGAAATGAGGTACCGCTGTGAAGATAATGTAGGTTGTTACATAAACAACTGGTATTATAAATGTTTTTAAAAACGATTTTTGCTTTTGTAAAAGAGATTTATTTTTTGACAAATTTTGTGACAGATATATTGCATAACCATAAACAAATATATACAATAGTGTAATTAAAGCATCAAAGGACACATCGTGAACTACATATGCTACTTTAGTTCTCATTTTCGAAGTCAAATATCCTACTAGCACACTGCATACCCATGTAGCAATTAAACAATAAATGACTTTTTTTTGGGATAGAACAGAATAGTATCTAACGTTCCAATAAAGTATAAGAAAACGATTTAATGTCAACAAAAATGTTGTTAAATAATAAGCAAATATAAAAGTTCTAATCATCACAATCATCCAGGGGTTTCTATTCTTTTCAGCAAAATCCAATATACCAAAGAAAAAAAGAAACGCGTTAGTGAATATTTCTGCCAATGATAAATTGAGTATGATTAACCGGTCAACTTTATGCATACCTCGAATCTTCTTTTTAATCACCAAATAGAGGCCTATGATATGCAAAAATAATCCGATTGGACAGCTTATAACTAATACAAAAGACAACCTTGTCACTAAGGTTGTTTTACCATTAGCTAAAGAGTTATTTAACAGAAGTTTTGTTGTATTGCTTAACATTTGGGCTTTGCTGACGGTAAAATAAACGTTTTAATTTAATAAATTATAGAGCAGAACAAACACCTAATCAAAATACACGTATGGTGAAGCCATATTGGTTAATAATGTAAGTAGTCAACACTATAGATTTAAAAAGAAAACGCTCCATATACAAATGTTTTTTTTTGTAACTTGTATCACATTTTAACGATTATCAAAGGTTATACTTTTGAAAAAACCATTAATTTTGTTAAACACTGTAAAGAAACCGTGAGACATAAAATTCAACTTGTAATCTAAATAATTTATAGGTTTTTACTTATTTATAAATTAAAATCTTTATTGCATAAATCACTAATAACAGAAATCAATACATCTAAGTTTAAACAATCATTAAAAACTATGTGCATGACGCAAATAATAAAGTTAAGTATATTCGCTCCTTCAATATTATTACTTAATACAACTAAACTATAAAGATTAATAATATATTTTATATACTCGAGTAATATTTATAATTAAATAAAACACTCGTTTTATGATTTATATCCGGTTGTATTGATAAATACAACTGGCATTGATAAATCAGACTATGAAATGTTAATTTGATATCAAAATATGCTAAGTTAAAATCAGTCCATACATATAATTTGTAATAACATAATTTTCCTCAATGATTTTTTTGGAAAAAGAAAGAAATTCTGGAGATCTTTGTCAACACTATAATTATTTATATAGCAAATAAAAAATAATAAAAAAACAACAACAATAGCAGTACTTAATACTTTGATAATCAAATATTATATCTTTATTTGAGTCAACGACAAAAATGATAAAATAAAAGTTAGAGGGAAGTTTGTGAAGACTTGAATAAAAATAACCCACCTATTTATCTATTATCTTTGTAATAATGAATGTTGATGATTCTTTTAGTATTATTTAATAATAATATAATCTGAAATAATCTTTTATTTACAGCTTTCAGAATGATGATGCATTACAATTGTACGTACGTACGTACGTACGTACGTACGTACGTACGTATGTATGTATGTATGTATGTATGTATGTATGTATGTATGTATGTATGTATGTATGTATGTATGTATGTATGTATGTATGTATGTATGTATGTATGTATGTATGTATGTATGTATGTATGTATGTATGTATGTATGTATGTATGTATGTATGTATGTATGTGTGTATGTATGTATTTATGTATGTATGTATGTATGTTCCAGTCACATTTGGCTTACTATCTTACTTAGTCAACATTGTTTTCATGGATTTGCAATGGACTTATATAGACATTTTTAGCGATTTATTGAACTTTTGCTTATCGGTTACTTAGTGGATGATGCTTAAAAGCCAATAACTTTCCGACATAATAGCGCTTACAATGGGAAATTTTTTAATAGCGTTTACAATGGGAAATTTTTTTTTTTTAATAAAATTAATTGTTTTTTTTAACATTGAAAAAATATACTTTTTTCAAAAAAAAATTAAAAAATTTTTTTTTCAGGTTCTTTTTTAACATATAAAAAGTGAGCAACTGTTTTGGCTTGTTATACCATGGAAGTAGTATATATACTACTTTCATTGTACCAGTTAGGGAATCCAAATCCGGATTTTGGAATTTCGGCTTTCCAAAATTCATTTGTTTTTATTAAATTTGAAATTCCGGAATAGAAAGAAACCGAATTCCGGATAATTCGGATTTTTATATCGTTAGCTTTTTTTGAATTCGAATTACTTTTGTTGTGCTTAAAAGCAAAAAATTTTTGGGAAACTTTAAAAGAATTTTGTAATTCAAAAATAAACGAAAGTTTTGCTACGGTAATATCTAGAATGGTGGTCTCAGACGGTTTATCGTTTCACTACAATACATACATACATACATACATACGTACGTACGTACGTACGTACGTATGTATGTATGTATGTATGTATGTATGTATGTATGTATGTATGTATGTATGTATGTATGTATGTATGTATGTATGTATGTATGTATGTATGTATGTATGTATGTATGTATGTATGTATGTATGTATGTATGTATGTATGTGTGTATGTATGTATTTATGTATGTATGTATGTATGTTCCAGTCACATTTGGCTTACTATCTTACTTAGTCAACATTGTTTTCATGGATTTGCAATGGACTTATATAGACATTTTTAGCGATTTATTGAACTTTTGCTTATCGGTTACTTAGTGGATGATGCTTAAAAGCCGATAACTTTCCGACATAATAGCGCTTACAATGGGAAATTTTTTAATAGCGTTTACAATGGGAAATTTTTTTTTTTTAATAAAATTAATTGTTTTTTTTAACATTGAAAAAATATACTTTTTTCAAAAAAAAATTAAAAAATTTTTTTTTCAGGTTCTTTTTTAACATATAAAAAGTGAGCAACTGTTTTGGCTTGTTATACCATGGAAGTAGTATATATACTACTTTCATTGTACCAGTTAGGGAATCCAAATCCGGATTTTGGAATTTCGGCTTTCCAAAATTCATTTGTTTTTATTAAATTTGAAATTCCGGAATAGAAAGAAACCGAATTCCGGATAATTCGGATTTTTATATCGTTAGCTTTTTTTGAATTCGAATTACTTTTGTTGTGCTTAAAAGCAAAAAATTTTTGGGAAACTTTAAAAGAATTTTGTAATTCAAAAATAAACGAAAGTTTTGCTACGGTAATATCTAGAATGGTGGTCTCAGACGGTTTATCGTTTCACTTTTTTTGTAATTTAGACGATTTAAGAAAATATTTAACAATGCGCGGATTTGATGTTCCTAAATCATCTACTAGTATATAGGAGGTTGTAATAAACTTCAGCAAAAAAGTTCGCCAGTCAATAATTGCAGAAATCGTTTCCCAAAAAAAGAAGATATTTTTCAGTGTCGCACTTGAAATCTTTATTAAAGAAAGCACTAATTGATATTAGTGCTTTCTTTAATGACGCTTTTATATGAAATATCAGCATCACAGATATCGAAAAATTTGATGCCAGTAAAATTAGCTGTAAACGCGTTGAACCGTGTAAACGCGTTAAACCGTGCTGACGCCAACTTAATTTATGCGGGCGCAACATTTATGTTTATGTTAAAAACTTTGATGAGGATAACGAAATTGGCCTTACATTAAAAAAAGAGCTAGAAATCCAAATTAACCGAAGAAGAACTATTTAATCTAATGTTTTACATGCATTCATGTTTTTCTGCATAATGGAGATCGAGGAAAAAAAAATCATAAGAGTATATCTGTTTGTTTTAAAACGAAAATATATAACTTTTTTCTAAGTCTAGCCCGACGTCTTAATAATGAAACTTATCTGAAATTCAATTCAATGAATTCTAATTCTGATCCTGATATAGAATCTGGACCTTACGAAAGCAAAACTGAACTCTCTTTGGCGAAATTGCTAGAGAAAAAAATGCACCATTTACACCCACTTTTACACCCATAAACAAGAACTTAAAAAAAACCATCAATTTAGTCAGCAATACGAAATGAAATTTTGGGACGAAAGTGGGTTGCATGGACCACTTTTGTAAAATATTTTCTATAAACTGTTGAGTATTCCTTTAACAAGTGTTGAAGCTGAGAGAGCTTTTTCCGCCGCTGGAACATTTTCAATAAAAATCAGGTCAAGACTTAATGATGCGACATTGGATCATTTGTGCATGCTAAAAAGCTTTTTTTAAAAATCAGATTTAAAAAAAATGTTTTTACATATTATTTTATTTTTCTCATTGAACTTAATTTTTTTTTTTTTTTTTTATTGAATTTATTTGGTTTTACTGAAATATTTTTAAAGAAATTAATTTTAATTAATTTGAAATACTTTGAAATTTTTTTTTTCTATCGATTTCTTTTTGCAATTCCGGAATAATATCGGAATTCCGAATTTCATTTCATGTAATTCCGAAATTTCCGGAACCCATTTTTCAATAAAAATTGGATTCACTAGTACCAGTTGAAAGTAAAATTTTAGGGGAATCGGAATTGTTTCCAAAAAAAGTATAAAATTGCTGTACTATTTGCACATAATTGTACATTAATATTAATTTTTTTAGTTTGCGTCAACTTACCCCAGCGTAAAGTAAGTTAGCAAACTTTTTTCTTTTGGCGTCAAGAAAAAATGCAAGTTACAAATGTTACCTAAATTCATACTCTTAAAGACTGCGCTTTATTATTTACAAAAGATTTTGCCGTTAAGATTACAGAGCTCGAAAAGTAAAAACAGAGACAACAAGCCCCGGTCTCCCCTATACAGTAGTCAGTTGGAAACCATTTGGTTACCGTAACCTTCATTAAACAAAAATTTGGTGAATACTATTACGTCATAAACATATGCCATCAGGACAATGTGCCATCAGGAAAATGTGCACGCTCCTAAAAAAACAGTTTTAAATGTTTCTAATTTTTATAAACTTAAAATTCTTGTTTTTTACAAGTTTTTCATGCAAGTATATCATTATCTAAAAAAAGTAAGGCAATATAAACAACCATTGATCATAATTTGGAACATTTTATTGCTGTTAGATGTTTTATTAATTGTCTTTTTGATTATTATTTTTTTCTATGTTTATTACTTCATCATCACATTATTTGTTTACAGTTTATACTTTATACGATGACTTAACTAATCGATCGTTTAAAGGTTGCGTTAATCGATAATTGTTTGTGATAGTTATAGAATCAGATTGACGTTGAAACTTAAAAAAACATTTTTCATTACAACTTTCTTTGGGATAACTTTTACTCATTCTTTTTAGTTGGTCAATTGAGATTTTTATTGATTCTGTAAAGAGTGTCCACGTGACGTTTTCTGTAAGAGGTGGCATTGTCAAAGATCCAGGATAAGTAAAATAATGATTTGTATTTTTAGGTAACAAAAGATAAGGATCTACCATAAACGAAGCAGTATTGTTCATATACGGAACTTTTTCAAACATCTCAAGAAACACTTTGAATTCTTCGTTGTCATCGTACGATTCATTTGCATCTATAAGAACTCCGATGACAGCTAAACCATCAGGATTCGCAATAGCATCAGACTCTGTTGCGTATAAATCTGTGTTCCAATGAACTGCATGAAATTCTGCAGCATATCTTTTGCCGTCAATAGTATGTTCGCAACCAAGTTCGCACTTACCTTCGTAAACTTCTCCCCAGTGAAAATGCATTTCACGAAAAGCATAATTGTAAGTCAACGCCCCTCCGTATAAAGAAATGGCTCTAATATTGTCAGCTCTAAAAGAAATGTTCCATCCAATGTTGGTTACATGAACTAAAATAAATTGCCGATCGAAATTGAGAGCTTTTAAGTTGGAATCATATTGCACATTTTGTAAAACAATATCAATTGGAGATTGTCTTGTTGTAAAACTCCACGTTTTCAGCCATTGTTTGGGACCATGATTTTTTGAAAAATCCCAATAAATGTTATTGTTAGAAACAACTTTTTCCTCTGCATAATCGGTTTCCTTTAACATTCTACAAAAAAAATATATATATATATATATATATATATATAAATAGTTAAAATTAAAAAATATTTTTTAAGCTTTTGTAAAGAGTTTTCATAGTTTTAAACATGTTTCTTAAAACAATAATTTTATTTTATTATAAATCTCTATGTCAATTATTGAGTGTATGGTTGTTTATTGTTTTAATTTTAGAAGTTTAGTTTCCACAGTTTTGAATAACTACAACTCCATTGTATATGCGATTGGTCTACCATATTTCTATACTAGTTTGTGTTACTGTATTGAGCTTAGAGATGTCACAAATATTCGGTGACTTATTAGTGTTCACCCTATTCGTTTACTTTTTTTACTACTCGGTATTCAGCCGAATTTTGCTAACTATTCGGCCAAATACCGAATACCAGATTGCAACGAAAAAAGCGCAATATCACATATCTCTAACTTTTTAAAACTTTTTATCTAAAAAAGCAACTGACATATTCAATACTTAAAATCTAAGATTGTAGGTTATGACAAAAACATTTTCATTGTTTGATGATAGCAAATGATTGTGACTTCCTCATTAGTTATATATAATTTCAAAAATAGCCATTGACAATATACATTGCCACTGGCAAATAATAAAAAATGTTAGTAAGTGCTGTTAGAATCTTTTGCGTAAGTTATGTAAGAATAATCTTTTGAATAATAGTTTTGTAAAGATTGGTTTAACCATTTTCATTTAGATTACTTTATCTTACGAAGTGAAGATAAATTATCGTCGGTGCTACAAGGTACAGGTGATAGTTCATCGGTGTCAAGCAGCCATTCACAGAGAAGGATTAACCCTTTACTTATTTAATCTTTCTCAAAGCTTTCCATCAAAGTTAAACCCATTTAAGTTCAGATTGTATTAAAGATATCACTTTTAATATGTTTAAAGTTCTTTGTGCTATATCTATCAATAGCATCTTCTTAAATTACCTCAGAAGTGCAAAATACACGTGAGCCGGTTATTTTTGTAATCTTTTTGAATGGTTTGAAGAGTATGGTACTTTAATACACAACAATAGTTAAAACAATTTGATGTTACAATCAACAAATATTGCATGCTATGACACAGCCTAGTCACAAATGAAACAAAAACGCACACAGCGTAATTAACGTATCTACTTCAATGAAGCAAGTCGAAACCTTTAAAACTAATCAAGTGTCACCAAATAAGCGGCAGTCGAATGTTTGGTGCTTTGGCAGAGCGCCTAGCTGAATATTCAGTACTCAATACAATTACTATTCGTGACATCTCTGTTTAAAATTTTATTAATAAAGTAAAAAATCTTATTGCATATAAACCATGCTGTACCACAATAAATCTGTAACAATATTTAGCAAATAAAACTAAAAAGTTGATAAATAAAAGTATTTAGAAAAGTAAATTAATTAAGTAAACAAGCTCTCTGGTAGTTATTGTATATATGGCATATTATTAAATATACACTATAGTTATATATAATACTATATATAATACTCTAGTTTTTTGACTCTGGAACTAAGACTTTTTTTTTAAAGTTAACAAATTTCTTGTAGGATTGTAGGGCATAAACTTCAAATCCTAGATAGACCAATAGTTCTCCATTCCCAGTAGGCATGCGTTGTCCGGGGGACGTCCGTCGGATGTTTTACAGACGTCTGGACGTCCGACAAACAAAGTCTAAACGACGCGTGACCACTGGGTTGTAATGCTATTATTTTGATTTTTAAAATTTTGTTTTTCTTAAAAGATTGTCTAAAAGAAAGTAAAAATTAGCGCTGCAGCATTATTACTAATACATCATCAGCATTATTAATAAAATTACTAAAATATTACAAAGTTTTACATTTCATCAAGCGACTTTTGACTTAGGTACATTGAAAATACGCCTATTACATTAAATGACATTTTAAAAACTTCTGACTAGCTTATGTGACAGTCCATTTTTATCACAACTAATCATAATCGCTTTAAAGTGGGAATTTTCTTATTTTTTTTTCCAGTAATATAAACATTTTAATACTTTTCCATAAGTGTAAGTATTTCCATAAGCACTTGTCCATAAGTACTTTTATTTACCCGTTCAAGAAACTTTGTCTGTTGATGTAACAAACTTATTTGATCAAAAATAAACCCTAAAATTGAGTCTTGCAATTTAGGTGATAGAAATAATTGGTACAAATAACAACCCAGCAAACTCTTTATGCATGGACTAAGCATGAAGATTATTGGATTATGATTGGCATCACCACGCCGGTAATACCGTTCATATAGAAAAGATTTGGAACGTTCGTTTTACGATCAGCAACTCTGCTGTTTTTGCCGATTCTGTGTAAATCTTAAACCATGTTTGTTACAAAAAAAAAAAGTAGAAAGTTGCGCACGCATAGTTTTTATAAAAAACTTACAAACTTTCTACACTAGTATTTTTAGAGTTTTGACAGATTATCGGTGAGCAGAAGATAGTATGGCTCAAAATAAAGTTTTGAGTTTTCAAAAAAATGCAGACCAGATATCTTACTGATTTAAGGAGATCTTGCAAGGAAGTGCTGCTACATATAAATTATACCTGCTCTATTATACTACTATAAATTATACTACTTAGATTCTATGAATATAATAATAAATGTAATATTATGAAAATCATTATATTTTTTTAATATTATTGTTTATGTTATTTTCTAATATTTGTATATTATGTTATATTCATAAGATAATACTGTTACATAAACTAACTAAATGGATTTACTTTTTATTTTTAAGGGCATATAAAGAAAGTGCATGTTTTGCATCATGTTTTTTTAGCAAACTCTTTTGCTATTTAACTATATTACATATCAAATGAGTTTTCTAGAAAGCTGAAATCATTTTCTCTCCTGAATATATAAAGAGAATTTTGTCTTTTTACTATATTGTTTCATTTCTTTGTTGGCATGTTGTTTCTATTGATGATATAGTACAAAAAAAAAAAAAAAAAAAAAAAAAAAAAATGCTCAAAAACATTCTACTTTGAAATATGGAAGTGTTTTTCTTTTGAGTCCATCTACATTTAAAATAACTTAATGTACGCTTCAAATTTATTAAATTTTTTTGTTGATTACTAAAGATCATTGTATAGTAAGAAAAATTCTTACTATACAATGATCTTCATAATGTGCATATTATGAATACTGTGAATATTATGATATGAATTATGTGCATATTATTTTGTTCATAATGTGCATATTATAAAGTGCATATTATATATATTAATTTATCATATCATGCAGAGAGATTTGGTTGCTAGGCAATGTTTCAGCATTTATTTTTGAGAGTTAATTGAAATCTGGTTAACATCGAATGGTTTGGAAACCAAAACAAGCTCTTTAGCAAGTTATCAAATGTCAGTATGATTCCGAAAGTCATGCTATTTGAAATCACTAAAATAGGCTTCTTTTTTCAAGCATTAAGCACTCAAAGCAATTCCAATCATGGTTAAAAATTATAAATACTCATTTTAATCATAGTTAAAATTTCTCGATAATCATAGCTAAAGATTTAACAATTTTTAATCGTGTTTAAAACCTTAAAACCCTGTTAAAACTAAAGAAAGAAATGGTTTTGTTAAAGTTATTTTAAATCTTGCAAAAATGTGAAATAGGATAAAGGAACATAATAATAAAATGAACTGTTGATTGTCAAAAGTTGATTATATAAAGCCATTTACAAATATTTTCAGATCGAATACGTTCATCTAATTCTAATATTTTTAGAGTTTTTAATCAAACCAATACAAAGCAAATATATTAGAAATATCATTTAAGTTTGTTTGGCTACCCTAAAAAAAATCTTATATTGTTTAACCAATTTTACACACCTCCTTAACTGTAGCTATTCATTAATGTTAGAAATTCTTGTTGTTGCAATAAATCCTAACAATAAATTTTTTATTACATAGTGATATTATTAAAATATTTATTTGTTTGAAAAATATTTATAACAAATTGTTATTTTATTGTGTGCAAGTATTTAAAATATTCCATTATGAGCTTTTTTCAAGCAGCACATCTTTTTTGAATTGATTTTACAAGATTGTTGCAGATTTCGTTTGGAACTCTTCTCCAAATGGTCTTAAATCTAATTCTTGCTTTAAGCAATTTAAGGATCGTATTTTCATCTTGACTGATTCTCTATCCATCTAAGCCCAAATAGATTCGATTGGATTCTTATCTAGTGATTGAGCTGGCCAGGACAATGAACCTACTTTATTTTCTTTTATCCGCACTTTTCTGTACGAGCTACGTGTTGATGTGCAAAATCTTGTTGAAATTGCCACCATTCGTTTTAAACAATCAGCATGTCTACTGATGAAACTATGCAGTTCACTAGCGTCTCCATATATGTTACACACTCATAATCCGATAAAATTAAAGCAGCTCCAAATACCAACAGTTCCGCCGCCACTCTGCAACCGCTACAACAAAGCAATTACTAAACATTTTCGATTTAAATCTTTTAACAAGAACTTTAATTTTTCTACTTATTACTTTAAAGTTACACTAAAAATTACTTCTACTTTTTCTTTAGAAAAATATTTCTAAATGTTTTTAACAAAATACGTTTTTCACAATTTTCATTTCAATGTGTCAGTGAGTTCACAATAACTTAACCTTGGCTTTTACTTGACGAAATTTAAGACTTATTTTACCCACATTGCTTTTTTTTAAACTTCCTGATCCTGCATGATCATGGATGTTACCTATTGTTTTAAATGTATATCTAACACAATTCTCCAATATTTTTCATTTTCTTGCTATTTCTCTATTACTGATCATTGATCCATCTTTCATACCTATTATTTGCCATTTTATCGCTTCGCTTACTGTTTTTTGACCTATTTGTGTGTATTTACTTTTAGGTCTTTTTAAAATGTGTGACTAAACTGGTCATCATACGTAATTTTATCCAACCATCTATAGGAAGATGGTTGGATAAAATCAACGATCTTTTTTTTACAA